ACCGTAGAGCACTGCGTCGCGCAAGACAACCGCACGAGTATCGGTCCTTACATACGAGTTAGCGTGAAACGACAATATATCGCAGAGCACTGCGTCGCGCGAGACAATCGCACGAGTATCGGTCCTTACATACGAGTTAGCACGGAAATATGAATTTTTTTTCGCTGGAAAATAACAGCTTTACGCAATTGAGAACTATACTGGTATTTCATCGATAATCATATGATAAAATGATCTTAAAAAATTAAACATTTTAGGTTTGCTGTTGAAAAAAGAACTACACATCGTTATTCAATTGTCTGTGATTACAAATATTCCACTCTCAATCTCGCGTATAAGAGCATGAACAATGAAATCTTTGTGATTATTTCAGTTATTTGCTATGTTTGTAGCGGGTAATTCGCGATATGGTCGGCTTCCGTCTAAATAGAGCCGTTCATAGTCCAGCATCAAACGTTCTCGGATTTACATTTTATTAGTTTCAAACATGCTTTTCTGATTTCCTGGTGTGCGCCAATGTAGATGACTGGATTGACCAGAGATATCAACAGTGTTAGAGTCGGCAGCCAAGGTTCCAAAACGTACATCGTATTAAACTTTGTGTAAAGACTGTAGAATATAACAATAGGAATAAATCTTGTTGGTACGAGGCTAATGGCAAGATAGACTGCTAACTTGGCTGCTTTTCTCTCGGATTTAGATAGTTTCACATCAGCACTGGATTTGGCTTGTAATGTTACCTGGGATTCAACTTTGTGAGAGCCTTCTGTTATTTCGTTTGAATGTTTTTGGTCAATTTTYACGTTAAAAGTTTGTAGTTCAGCTTGTTTTTCTTGTTCGTTGTTTACTGCATCACATTGACTTGTGGAATCATTTTGTTTCTGAGTGATACTTTTTCTGAGGCTCGTTTTAWTTCCTGKTGCGGTCCTCACTGGAGSTGTTACATTTTCAGAACTGCTCAAATCGTGCTCTAAGGCAATCTTTGCTGAGTTTGATTGTTCATATCTTGTATCTGAAWTGGATGAAATCTCAACATGATTTTGCTGTGGATCGCTTGTTTGCGCGTCATCTCTAAGCGAAACTGAGTTCCTGGGATTTTGAGTGGTACCTTGKGGCTGTCGCTCTGCACCTGAATTTTGCGTACCATCGTTTTCAAGAGAGGTTTTCTGGTTTCTCTGTTTTATAGTCCACCAGATCAAGACGGCGAAAATAAGTGAACAAAGCCACGAACACGAGAAAACTAGAAAGCTCAAAAATCGACCTGCTTCTGTGAAGTTTCGTATCTGGGAAAAAGTAATACCGGTRACAAAGCATGCAAATGCTGTCCTCATGAGACGACTTTTTGTCACATGGACTCGATGCCATAAAGGATATCTTAGTCCGATTAACCGTTCACAGTTCATTACCGACAGCATCAGTTCCCCGACCGCTGATAAATCAGTAACCATCAAAAAAGTTATCGTAAAACAGTTCGGCTCAAGTCTTTGTTGGTAAAGTAYTTCCTTCGTCAAGSWCAACGAGAACGATAAAACACTTCTCGTCAGATCGATAATCGCCATGGCACACAAAAAAAYGTTCGCTGGTTTTCGCAATGAGGAATTCTTGTAAAAGGCTAGAATCACTAGACCGTTGAGAAAAGCTGCCACAGGGCAAGACAACACACTTGTTAAAATRGCAACACGAGATGATGTTAAGGATGCAGTCGTTGCCTTGTTGGGATCCTTTAGCTCACCAAGTGCTTTACAAATACTGATTTTCTCTGAGGAGGCTGAGAAGGTTGGTGTGGTGTTAAGGTAAGACATCTTCCCGACGATTTCTTGCGATAGCCGCGACTACATATGTTTTTATGCCTGCGATTATAAATTAGACCAATAATTAAATCAATTAAAGTTACCATTGTAATTTTACGGATATAACGAGCCATAATGACGTCACATGGTAAAACTATCTAATCAACCAGATGGCTATGATTCAAAGGGAACAGAAATCTCGATCATGGTCTATGTATATGTAAGATCTGATAAGCTGAATTAAGTGAAGTATTTTCTCCTTTTTTTCTGTCTCTCTCTTCTTAATTTTTTTTTAATCCCGTCCATGCACGAAACACAAATACACTTAAAATGTATCAAGTGCAGGTCATGTGCGAGCATGGCTTCTGAATAAATCAACTGCGCATTGAATTAAAAAGCCGAGGTTTTATTTATTTTTTATTATTATTTATTTACTTTTTTTTTGGTCCCGTTTGCTGCCCGAATACGATGAGCCGGCTCTTTGAAAACATTTAAATTAGTTTAAATATTTGAGAATTTACTTCCAATACTTGAAATGTACTTTGAATATATTTTTGGTTTAGCGATTCTAAAACAATGGATTATATCGGCCAGAGCTCAAGTTTGTTTGATGGTGAAAGCCAACGACGTTGCTTACAGAATCCCTGACACACAATGTATATTTATTGGGCTTCCTATGTTATTGATTGTCGAGCGGGAGGCTGAGTGCCAGACTTGTTTATTCCAAAAGCTCCTTTCGCGGTTAGAAAACAAGCTACGCTAGGAGCCTGTGGTTTTGCACCCAATCGAGGCAAATCGGGCAGCAACACAAAAAATGTCATCTTTGAGCTTGTTTAACATTTTCCAATGT